GCCCCCTCCCAGCTCCTTGTGCACCTGCAGCCTTCTCAGCCGGCAGAGCATGGGAAACTAAAAAGTCCTTGACTAGTGTAAGCACTGCTCAGCAACAACTAAGACATCGGTGTGTTATCAACATTGTTCTCACCCTAAATCCAAAACACAGCACTGTACCAGCTACTAGGAAGGAAATTAACTCTACCCCTGCTGAAACCAGGACACTATATCACTCATAATAAAGTAAGCATCTTTGCATCTTTGAAGACAGTGCTGGAGAGAGTTTGATTCTAAAGTGGGAAAGTTGGGTTTGTTTTTTTAAAAAGTTCAATGGATCTCATTAATATCCATACTATTCTGAAGTAAATTAGTTCTTAGTTCCAAGTATAGGATTTCCTCTGGTACTCTTCAATGTGTTTGCACAGTAGGTCTGAATCGGGACAACATCTATCATTTTCTTGCAGTAGGTTGTACTAGTATTTGTGTGCATCTCTGTGCATGTGTCTGTGTTTGGAGGAACGTGTAAAGAACCAAGGTCTGCCTTGGAGGTCGTGGCAAAGAAGGTATCATTGGATGCATATGTGATCTATGCAGTACCAGAGACTGATCTCTGGCCTGTTTGCTTGATGACAAGATGCATAGGTGTAGGGACACGTATGTGGCAGTGGACTGTTAATATATTTTGTACTGAATGTATGCATTTTTTGTTTCTGAGTCAGAAATACATCTGGGAAAGCTCTAGGAAGGTGGTATAGTGTAGACTTTATAAGGCTGTGGGTGGATAGAAAACCCAATGGAGGGGAAGAGGCCCAGGTCTGGGATAGAAACTCCCAGGGGAGGGTGAAAGGTGAACTTCTGCAGGAGGCTTGTGAAGAAGAGGAAGAGCTCTTTTTTGGCAAGAGCCTCACCACACATACTTTGTTAACAGGTTGATCCCAGTGAGAGAGAAAGAAGACTGTATGTCCCCAAGAAATATCAAACAAATACAATTGATCATCATTCATGCATTTAATCAGCAACAGATTTGAATACAAATGTTAAAATAAATTTTGTAGGCACATGTTCAGTAAATGGCTTTAAGATAAATTTGCCTTTCAGTAATGAAATACAAAGATATTGCTCTGAAAGAGGTAGTACTGAATATCTGTAAGATAGTCTTTGAAGTTATGATCATCCACTGGTGTTTGGAAAAGGGCTGAGTGTCAATAAGCTTGCCCTTTGGTTAGTTTAAATAAGAAATAATCGCTAATAGGAGGAAATAATAATAAGATAACACTTTTTATTTCTTTAAGTCCAACTCCTTTGTTTCATTTCATTAAGATTTAATCTATCTGTATTTAATCTCTTTAAAAAAAAAAGAAAAAAGAGATACACTGCATTAGAATTAAATTTGAGATTTAATCTATCTGTATTTAATCTCTTTAAAAAAAAAAAAAGAAAAAAGAGATACACTGCATTAGAAAATTTAAATTTGAAGTTTTCACTTAGAAAACCACCAATCCCAGTGGCTTCTGTCATTTTGACCCTTACAGAGGAAGAGATCTCTTTTCTGATTAGGACTGGATACAGAAAATATCTTTTAAAGGATGGCTGACCTAACCTCCAAAATGCTACTAATTTGAAAAATATGAACTCCTAAGGTTTCTTCTGAGAATGACAGAAATCTAAAAAAGAGCTTTCAGCATCCTGATGGTGGAATCTAATTTCAAGCTGAAAGTTACACACAGTTGCTGCCCTTTAACTCATCTTTTTCAGATATTTTTATGCACAGCTTGATGAATGTCGATACTGAATGAGTTTTTACTCACTTAAAAAAACCAAACCTTATTTTTAAAATAAAGCTTAGTTAAGCTTTTTTATGTAGAAACAAGTCAAGGTGAGAACAAAGGTAAGACAGAAAGAGTGTTCAGTGGTTATTGGAGAGGATAAAACATTGACAGTCTTTCATGAGAAAGAAAAGAAATGCTAGTCATTGTGAACCTCAAGTTTAGAGTAGTTGTACTTTAACTTTGTACTGTACTTTTCAGTCCCATTTTCAAAGTTCATCTTCCACCCTGTGTCTCTTTTAACTCCTTGCTTTTCTTTCCTGCCAGTGTATGGCTGCCTCATTGACGAGCAAAAGGGTCAGCAGCTCTCCACCATAGCAGGGTGGAGACCATAGGAGGAAATCAAACACACATAGATGATCAAAACAAGAGATTTGATTTGTTGTCTTGCTCCGGGCTGCAGTGATCTATCTCAGGACTGCCTGACAGATACCCCAGAGAACCCTCATTGCAGTTTTTTTTGCATGCCTCATTGTCCCTTTTCCTATTTCTTTGCCTTCCCCATCTTTGCCCACTACTAATTAAATTTTGTTTGGTCTCAGATTTGCTACATCTGTACCTGAGGTTGGTATTTCAGCTATGCTTACAGGGGCATTTGCTGGCCTTTCAAGGTTATGCTCCCCAGAAGGTCCCCAATTCTTCCCTACAATTATCTGTGCTATCAGGCCATTTCTCATATAACTCACTTTTCATTTTTCATGGTGTTATCTGTAATTCTTATCAGAGTGTTATATTGTTTCCTGTCACATTCAGCAATTTTCTCATAAAATGATCTGTAGTTTCTCACATCCTGTTCACTTAGCTTAACTTCACATGAGGGTTTAGTCATCTGGCTGCACCACGTTGTTCAAAAGGTCACTTCCAGTCCTATTTCTTGTTTGATGTTTTCACAACACATACTTTTTACATTTTTCATTTCATTTACATTACATTTTTACATTTTTCATTTTCATTGTCCTAATTACAGGCTGGATCGATGGGCCGAGGCCAACTGTATGAGATTCAACAAGGCCAAGTGCCGGGTCCTGCACTTCGGCCACAACAACCCCATGCAGCGCTACAGGCTTGGGGAAGAGTGGCTGGAAAGCTGCCTGGCGGAAAA